TTATATTGATTTTTTTTTTGGTAGTACCAGGGATCAAACTCAGGACCTATGATTTCCAGACAGGCTCTTAGGCCATGAGCTATAGTCTCAGCCCTATATGGAAATTATGATGTTATCTTTCTCAAAAAATTGCATTCAGGACAGAAGAGCATGGGGGAATATGATTATAACACACAGCTAAGGATTTCTTGGGGCAAGTTCCCGCATCTGTAGGCATGAGATACTGTATCTGAAGGGCGTAGCACAGTGCTCGGCATAAGGAAGTGTGTCCCAAGGTCTCTTATTGCTCCTTTTCTAACTGAGGCATCAAGGGAGGCAGAGGACTGCCTCACCGTTCCCAGGCGCAGATCTCACTCCTACTTCTGAGCACCAACGTTTCCCCAGCTCCTCTACAAACCAGCCTGGGAGACATTTCTTAAGGCATCTCCTTCCCCTTCCGCACTAGTCTGCACACAGAGGCTTCCTTCAGCTCTACATTCAGCAGAAGCCTTGAAAGGCAGCCTGGGGAGGGGGAGAGTGCCAGCTGCCTCAGCATGGTGGGAAATGCCCAGCGCTAAAAGCCACGAGGGAGGGCTAGTCACGGAAAGAAAGCCTCTCAGCTCTCAAACACAATATTGTGTTATCTTAGGGTTGCCAGAATGCTCAGAAGCAAGCAGAAGGGAATTTCCAAAATGGTTTCCAAAGGGTCACCTGAGTCCTGCAGATTACAGGCCCAGGAAAAGTAAGACCACACAGCCAAGGGCCATTCCAAGGGACGCAGTTGACGAAGCACTTGGAGGAAGGCCAAGGGGCCCTCCTTGTACAGCCTTAGTGGCTTGAATCTCCTTTTATTTAGCTTGAAGAGGCAGAACATAAGAAGGACTTCGGCTTGCCTCTCACTCCCCATCTTTCTGTGCCTGCTTCGCACGAGTTAGCCGAGGGCCTTCTGAGAGGTTACAGATGCCCCGGACACCCCTCCCATCCCAGCTCTGATCCCATCCCAGCTCTGTGGCCCAAGGATTATCCTCATCTCCATTTGACAGGCCTCCATGTTGAGCTTCAGAGAAATGAAGTGAATTACTCAATGTACTTATGAACTAATGGCCCACCTCATACTGTAACCCTGTCAAGCTACCAGGAACAATGAGTATTGTTATCTTTTTCAGCATCTCTTGAGTGCCAGATTTACAGCTAGGTACCTCACACCCACTAGCTCACTTGCTCTTGAGAGCAAACCTAGCAGTAGATGAGGGGCCCTGTGTTATAGGACAAGAGATGCTTTTGGTGTCAGCCACTATTCTAAGCCCTTGAATGTAGATTAACTCACATCAGTATTTCTAGTAAATAAGCAGAAGTATAATGTCCATTTGAGAGGTATGGGAACTGGGACTCAGAGATGCTGGGCAAGTTGGCTGAGCTACACAGCTATAAGTAGCAGAATGTGCAGTTGAACCCAGAGTTCCACATCTCTGGCAGCACAGAGGTGACATCTTCCAAAGTGACACATCTAGCAGGTGTCAGAACCTGCTTGGAATCTCTACCCAACTGAAAATCTAGAATCTTTCCTCTCAGCCGACCCATCAGGTGAGGCTGGAGGGACACTCTGCACCTTGCAGACGGTCCCTGCTAAGAGACAGTCAATCCCCTGAGGGTTGCTCCCGAGGGGAGCCTGTCCATGCCCATGTCAGGCTGGCTGTGGCTGATGAAGCTGGACCTGGCATGAGCAGCATCCGTGGCCAGACTCTCTCTGCCTGCTGACAGCTGGTCAAACCAGTCGGCCTTCTCTCTCTTGGTCCCCATTGGAAGTGCTTCACGGGAAGTAGAGGAGGACCTCAGAGGAACAAGACAGAGTCCTCAGGGAAGACTTCCAGGAGAGGGAAAGAGGAGCTGGGTATGTGTGGGGGGTGAGGGGTGCTGGGGAGTGGTTCTGGAGTTGTGGGGAAGGGGTAACCTAGCAACCACTGGGCCCAGCGCAGTCACAAAGCAGCAGACTTGTCCGCAGCACCGAGAAGACCTTGGTGAGTGCTCTCTCTCACCTTGCTCGGGCATAGGGGCTTCCTGCTCACATGGTGTAGCAGGCACCTTCCTCGGTGAGTCCAGGGCCTTTCCAGGGAGGAAGTAGCCCCTGGAACCAGACCAGGTCCCTGGGGAGGGCCTCAAAGGCCAGGGGCGAAGGGGAAGTCCTGTGGTGAATCAGTGGCAGCCTTTAGATTCCTTGAATCTCACTGTCTGAGGGTCCAGGGACAGAGGGCAGGGCAGAGGCAAGCCCCGCAGTGCCAGCCACCTGCCTCACTCGGGAGGACTCAGTCCTGACCTGCCAGGCCTCTGCTGACCTCTCTCCAGAATTGTTGGTCTGACTCCTGAGGGGCTTGTTGCAGCAATTCAATGGGTCACACCTAACGTTCACAAAATGGAAGCAAAGCCTAGGGCGTACACATCTGCACGTCACACGGCAAGTACTGCTCCAGGATGCGCCTGCTTCGGCGTTACATGCGCACTCACATACGTGACCTGGAAAAATGGATGTCTTAATGTCATCATGGTCAAAAGCATTCAAAAGTCTATTCTAAAAGTGTCTTTTCCTACAGATGGTTGGCTTTGGGGCACCACAGGCCCTAGAGCCCAACCTGTCACAGAGGGTGCCAAAGCTTCCTGAAAAGACACTTATCGTTAGAGAAAAGATCAAGGGCCATGAGCGGATGCCTGGGCTCTGGGCCCTGGTGTGTGGCCTCCACGAGTCTCTCCCCTTCCTTGGCCTCAGAGTAGGCCGATCCTCCAGGTGCTAACCTTACAAGGACCAACTCTGGGGATTGCCAGGGTCTCTGGGGGTTAATACTTAGTGTGCACTGTTCCCCTTTCCCTGACACCCCCGACGATGCCTGCATATGCTGGATATCGATTTCCATATATTTAGTAGGTCCCTAGATTTATATTAGTCATAATTCTTGGTTTTAGCCTCTGTCTCCCTTCATCCAGCTCACTGTTAATTTACTGATATAATGAACATCAGCAGGCGTACCGCCCACACAGCAACTGGAGTGTTGCCACTGATTGGTCACCTGTGGGCTCTTTCTGCTCCTTCCCGCCTTTAAACTTCCAGAAACGGTGACCATTTCTGCTGCGATTGCTCAATCACATGTTTATGATTTCTCTTGCCTTTCAACTTTCCTTTTTTTAAAATGACATTTCGTGCTGTTTGGTCTGAAGCACACTTTCCTTGGCCTAGCTGTATATTTGTAAGGTTCATCCACGCTGTTGCAAAAAGCTGAGGCTCAGTTATTTTCATAGCAATAAAATGCTCCATCTCCCGGATGTCACATAACTTGTTTTATTGTTCTGCTATTCAACATTTGGGTTGTCACCAGGGTTTTGCTCTCTGGGGCAATATTAATAGACATACTCTTCTCAATGGCCCCTGTCAAACATCTACAGCTGAGACAAAAATTGTTGGGTGAAAAAGTAGGCAAGTGTTGGGTTTTGCAAGCTGTCGTTCCTCCCCCACCCTACCCACCAGAGTCTGGCCCAAGTTATACCACTGGCCCGTGGGCGTTACTGGTGCTCATCCTGGGCACTAAGGCACTGATCTTTATTCTATTAGAAACACTACAATGGCAGCGGAGGTGAGGACTCAGCTTCCAGAACACCCACTGACAAGGTAGGGTCCTAAACATTCCCCTACTGACCAAGGGCATGAGGAGCAGGGCAGGGCAGGGCAGGGCAGAAGACAGAGGCAGCCAAGGGGGGCTCGGTGGCCTGGAGGGCCTGGAGAAACAGCCCCTCTTCACCCTCTGCTGCCACCAGCTGGCCCCCCAGTAAATCCTCAGCTAAGTTATCAGAGCCTGTGGGCAGGAACCTTTCCTGGATAGGGGAAGAAAACACAAGCCAGGACAGAAGCAAGCACAGGCATTCTGGGGCCGGGGGGACGGTTTAGGAGGTGATACCTTCTGTTACTTAGGGGTAGAAGAGGTAGCTGCCTGTGGTTTCCAAAGGTGGTTTACAGTTTTTCTTTAAGTCCCAGATTCCCTAGAGGAGAAAGGAGAGTGGAACAGGAGAGCCAGGGCCCAGGTGAACGAAATCCTCACAGGGTCCAAGGGCAGCACTGCGGGCTTAGCATATCAAGAGCCCATCTGTTCTCCTCCAAAGGGAGCCCCTGCAGCCAGGAACAGCAGGACAAGGACGTGCAGACAGCCACCAGGCAGGTGTCTGCACCAGGCCCCCAGTGGGCATGGCCTGACCTTCAGATCCTTGCTGAGCTGACCCCCACTCTCCCTCCAGGAGCAGAGGTTCAGCATCCTCAGGACAGGATGGGGGACAGGGAACCTGACCTGCTGGCCCAGAGACGCCCAGCTAGCATGGGATGCTTCCCCGTAGCGTCACAGCCCTGACAGCTGCCTGTCAATCTGTGTCTCCTGGGAGGGACCCTATGGGAAGGGATGGCTCACCTGGCCTTGCATTGGCTCTGACTCTGGTCCAGGACCACCTGGTGGGGAACGGGTGACAGCCAGCTCCTCTGGGCTGCCAAAGCTGGGCTTGGGGACAGGACTTGCTGGGGCCAGTCCTTGCTCCTCGAAGGAGGTGCATATAAGGAGCCGTGCTCCACCCCAGGTATGTGGAGGACTAGGTGGGTGTGAAGTTTCTCTTTCTAGTTCCAGATTTGTTCTCTGGGAGAAAACTGGGTTCTGGGAGATTCCATCTGAGCTCTCACAGATGGACTGGAGAACCTGAGAAGGCATCTTAGGAAGACGCAGGCTCCCTGGGACTGGATGGTGCCACTGGAAAGGACTCTGGGGGAGCTGAGTCTTGGGTGCCATTGTGGGGGGAAGGTTGACATCCGGGAAGATTTCCGAGTCTCTTAGAGTGGGGTCTGTGAAAAACACCCAGCTCAGAGTTGGGGTGGGCATTGCTGCAAGGCAAAAGCTCTGATTACTACTTCCCTGTAAACCTCTTTCAGTCCAAAGGCTGATCTGAAACCTGAGAAGTCAGGGCCTGGGCCACAGAGCCACAGGGACAGCAGACCACAGAAAGAGCCAGTGATCCCAGGCATTGTGGACGTGGAGCTGATCCAAGAAGTGCTGAGGACCCCCAAGCCCCACACTTCTGGCACATACCGCTTCGGCCGTCTCAGCCACCACTCCTTCTTCTCCAGGCACCACCCCCACCCACAGCGCGTGACCCACATCCAAGGTAGGGCCAGGTCTGCCAGGACCCAGTGGGGGTGGGACAGGTCTGACAGGGTGATCGATAATTGACCTTGAGACCTGGAAAGGATGTGTTCCTCCAGCCTACACCCAGGCTGAGGCCCAGAAAACGTGAGATCTAACCAGGGCCCCAAGGCTGCCTAGTGCCAACCCTGGTCTGACATGGGATCAGGAGGGAAGCCCAGGTTTCTTCCTGGGTGGATCAGGATACCCCACATGATTTCCTTCTCTGCTCTAGAGCTGAGTTGTGCTTTCTAACTCAGGCCACTTCACCTACTCAGCTTTCTATCCATCCATCCATCCATCCACCCATCCATCACCAGCATTCACTGAGTGCAAGCTAGAAGGTGACACTTTCTAAGTCTTGGGGACAGAGAATGGAGAACAGGACACAGCTGCTGATGTCCTGGAGCTGACATCTGGTACAAGAGTGGGAAATAGACCAGGTGTCAAGTGCAAAGGCCACAAAGGGAGATGGCTGCTTTCAGAAGGTGGCCACGAGGGCTGAGTTTGGCTCAGTGGGGCACTTGGCTGGCATGCACAAGCCCCTACATTCACAATCCTCTGCACCACGAAAAGAAAGAGAAGTGATCATGAAAGTCCTAGGCAGTAATGTGACATTTGGGGAGAACATTAAAGGAACAGAATGTGTTATAATAATGCCGCAGGCATGTGGATTAGCAAAGACAAAGACCCCGAGCAAGAACACCCAGGCTCTGCTGGAGAAATTGCAAGAAGTTCAGGGTGTGGCTGGAGCAGAGGTGGTGGGAGAGGAAGGAGAGGCTGGTGGGGGGCAATAGGCCCAGGTCATCTGGATGTACAGGCCACTAGTGTCACAGCTAGGCTGCCTCAAAGGTGGAGTCATTGGAAGGCTGAGTACTCAGAAGTGACACTTTTAGCAAGGCCACCCTGGCCTGGCTGGGCCATCAAGCATAGAAGCGGGCATGGGCCTTTCCTAGGGGTGCTGAGGAGGCAAAGCCAGCAGGACTAGTGACTGAGAGTGCAGCGTGAGCAGGGCTCCAGGCTCCCTCTTGGGTTCTCGGCCTGAGTAACTGGAGAGCCCGGGGACCCCAAGATGGAGAGGTTGAGAAGACGGGGAAAAGCCCTTCTAGATCCACTTCTCCGTGCCCTATGGATGGGGTGATGGTGGGTCGCATTGGTCACAGGGTCACTTGGCTCTGCTGATGGTGGATGTGCTGGTGGGTACTGGGCCCCCAGCCTCTTCCTGGTCTCCTGGAGCTCCTGAGGTGGAGACAGGCCCCCTCAGCCACAGCTGCTACCCCTTCACAGATCTCACTGGGAAGCCTGTCTGTGTCGTCAGGGACGAGTTCTCTCTGAACCCCCTGCCTCAGTTCACACCTTTACCCCACTGTCTGATGGGGATGCCCACCATCTCGGTCCCTATTGGGGACCCACAGTCCAATCGGAACCCCCAACTCGCTTCAGGTGAGTATTTGGGCCACACTCTTGCTCCTGAATGCTCGCACCTGTCCCCAAGGGCTGTCCTACCTGGGTGGGTGCCTGAGAAGGAAAGGGGCCATCACTCTTAGGTGGGTGGGGCCCACAGGATGACCCCACTATCCCCTTCTTTTCCCCGGGCAGCCTTACCTCTGCATTTCTGCCCCATCTGAGGTCCTAGGCCTCAGAAACACGCCCCTGCTTAGATTTGAGAGGTTGAGGAGGAATAAACAGCAGAGGCCCAGCTGATTTTTGACAGCAGTCGTGTGGTTTGCAGCTCCAGAGAGGATAGGTATTTGCACTCCTTCGTGACATACATGCTCAGGCGCAGAGCACACCGTCAGCCACGGCGCTGCATACCTTTTAGAGGCCTCTGCCCAGCAGAGCTCTACCCACTCTGCTACCAGGGAGTAGGAAAGTCACATTGCTAGGACAGAGGGGAAGCTCTGGGGAAAGGGGCCCGGCAGCCAGTGCAGGGCAGGGACATGTGACCCGCTGGCTATGGAATCCATGTCACCACTGCAGAAGTGGTTCGTTGTGTTCACAAAGATGTGGTGACAAATCATCTCAGTCCTGGCTCTGGGTCCCTAAAGGAGGTGATGCCGGATCAGGCGGCGCATATCCAAACACAAGCATGCTGATGTCCTCCAACAGGCCCCAGAATGCCCCAGGCAGGGCATCCGCACCACCTTCCTTTGGAAGAGAAGCTACCTCACCCCACCCCTGTGCCTTTTGTAACCTTCCACTCTCCAGAGCACCGCTTGCCCTTCTCCCTTAGGACCAGAGCAGGAAGGCCTGGAAGGATGGGGGTGGGGTTCTTTCACGTGGCACCATACCTGCCCTGCCCTCCCAGCCCTGGTGCTCCAGGGAGAGGGAACAGAGCCCCAGGATCTTGTTCCCTCCTCCCAGAGGCCTGGAAGAGGGAGTTGAAGGAACTGGCTTCCCGAGTGGCTGTCTTTACCAAGGAGACAGAGCTAAAGAACAAAGAGGTAGGTGCCGAGCCAGGAAGGAGGCTGGGAATTGAGGAAACAGTGGGCCTCACTGGGAGGAGGCATCAGTGAGGGTCAGAGGAGGGTGAGAACAGGAAACCCAAGAGGGCTCCTAGCAGAGGTGCCTTGCAGACATGGACACATAAGAAGATGTCATGGGCTGGGGTGGCTGGGGGTGACCTCGTGGTTACTGTTGGGTAGTTAATTGGCAAAGATAATCAAGAAGCAGATGGAACATGGTCCTGGGACAGGCCTCGCCCTATGGTTGAGTCTGCTCTCGTGTCTGTCTTGGTCAACCAGAGTGGAAAAGCAGAAACCTGCTCTCTGTTGCTACTCGCAGCTAACTGACCATGGTGCTCAGGGCAGCAGCGAGGCTGCCTGGGTCTCAGTTTCTCACCTTTAAAGAGGGGAGAAGGAGGCTACAGGGCTTATCTGGCATTACAAAGGGCAGGAGGCCCCAGAGGCCAAAGGAAGGCTGCCAGGCTATGAGGGTGCCCCTGGAGGCAGTCAGGCTGGGAATGAGGTAGCCAGTGGAGCCCCGGCCAGGACACTGTTTTCAGATCTCTGATGGGCTGGGAAGGGGTACAAGGAGGACTTGTATGGGCAGCAGAATAAGGTCCACTGGGATGTTCACTGTTCAACCATAGATGTTGAATTCTGGGAGGGAGCGCTCTTGCAAGTTGCAGCCCCTCTAGTGGAAGGCCTCAATCTAAAAGAAGGTAGTGGGCCAGCCCAATAGCTGAGCGGATTAAAGTGCCTACAAGTAGGTGCAGGGGCCAGGGGTTTGATCCCCAGGCCTGCTGTGCCGGCTGCTCCACCCCCGGGGCACGCTGAGATGGCAATTGAGAGTGAGGGCACACACCTGTAATCCCAGCTCTTGGGAGGCTGTAAATCACCACGAGTCCGATCTAATAGTGAGACCCTGAATACCCACCCTGTAGACCCTTCCCTAAAATATATAGATATAGATGTAGATGTAGATGTAGATGTAGATGTAGATGTAGATATAGATATAGATATAGATATATATGGGTAGTGGTAGTGGTGGCCCCGAGTGACAGGCTGAGCCCTTGGCATTGCTGTGCTGCTGGATGGGGGAGGTGGGCCCCTGGAGATGTGCCTCAGCCCTCTTGCCATCTTTCTGCTCTGCCTTCTCCTTGCCCCTCACTGGCTCCTGGAGTCTCAGCAGAAGGAGGAGCCTCAGAGGGAGCAGGGAGCGAAGTACTCTGCTGAAACCGGAAGGCTCATCCCCACCTCCACCCGAGCCCTCAGTCGCCGCAGCTTCCGCCAGGGCCAGAGGAGCCACCCTTCCAGCAGAGACGGAGGAACCCCGGCCTCCCTCCTGCAGGACCAGAAGCTGCTGGTGAGCCTTGCTCCCAGGGCAGAGAGTGCAACAGCCCCTGCTGCCAGCTCTCCCAACTAGCACCTTCCATACTGCTTTTGGGCATGGCTTCTCCTGGTGACACTGATCCTTGGGAACCCTCATGCTGGGCATCAGTAAGCCAGGCTCTGATCCCTGTCTCTAGGGGGCCTGTGCTAGCCTGTCCCTTTCTGTGTGAGTCCTCTCCATTAAGAGCCTTAGTTCCATGGCCTATGCAACTGGAACCGAGCACTTTGTCATCGAAGGTCCATCCCAGGTTCTGTATCTGCCGAGTCACAAAGAGAGCTGCAAAGGCTCATGTGAAGGTCCCATAAAGTGCACTCTCAAGCCACACCCCAGAAGGCTGTACTCCACAGTCTGCAGGTCCAGGCCCAGCCTGGTCTCAACCCTGAGGAATTTGCTCTGTGCTCCAATAGAGCTGAGTCCATGTGCTCTGTGTTCAAGTTTCCCTATCAAGGCCCAAGATGGTTCTGATGGGCCAAGGCATTAGGTCAGTGCTAAAATGCACATGTGCCCAAAGGGCACACATGTAGCCCACACCTTTAAAAGCCCTTCCTTCAAGCCAGCAGAGCCTTTGGAGCCTGGCCAGTTTGCAGCCAAAGGCCTAAGGAACCAGGGCCCAGCGTCCCCATCCCATAGATGGGGAGGCTGAGACCCTACCAGGTAGCATTCTGTGACCCAGGTCCCTAGCAAAGAGGCAGCATAGGCTGGATTAGAACCAGTATTCTCTCCACCTTAGGGCATCCTCAAAGTGTCTGGAATTAGGTTCTTGGGCCCTGGGGGGAGGGGGCACAGGGCAGGTAAGTTGGATGCAGAGGACAGATCAGGGAATGGGGGCAGATGGGGAAGTCACCAGAGCAGGTGGCTTCTGGGGGGTGGGAAGCAGCTGTGTCTAGGTCCCACTGGGCTAAGGAGCAGGCTGTTCTGCTGGGTCTGACACGCCCTGGCAGGTCCCCAGAAAGATCAACCATCAGGTGCTGAGGGAACCCCACTTTCCTAGAGCTCCAGGGGCTCTGCTTCCCACCATGAGCTCCAACTCCAGCCTGCCACAGCCACCATCAGAAACCAGGCCTAGGAAGCCCCTCAAGCCCATCTCAGATAGTGGCTCCTCTAATGTTATTTGACTGGTGAACACAGGGGAAAGGGAACCCTGAAGAAGCAAGGACAGTGAGGGCTGAGGACGCATGGAGAAGTCCAGTGTGCTCACTGCTGAGCAGGAAGGAGCCCCACACTGGGCAGCCAGCAGAACCACTTTGACCCATGGGCTGCCCACTGGGACTCACTCTCCTCTTTGCTAACATCTCTAGACTCTGGGAGCTCCAGGGTGGGGTGGCCTATGGTGTACCCAAAATCCCCACACAAAGCGCCCAGGTATGTAGGGCTCGGTGATTTCTGAGGAGTGACTGGCCAGCTCTAACTGCCTTCTGAGTGAAGGACC